GTGTACTATTTTGCACAAAAAGAAGCAACAGATTTGCCTGCTGATGCAAGTGTCAAAGACAACACACCACCTCGCAAGAAGAAGAAGAAGCATCGCTTATGGTCAATGCACTGTAGAAAGATTCAGGTTGGTGTTGTAATGTTTGCCTAACTTTTATTATAGATTTTTTTTTTGTCATATTTTTGAAAATGTATTTATTTGGAAGTTTTGAATTGTGAAGGTGTGGAGTTATAACACCTGGATGGCATTACCAGTGGATTAAGCTATAATTATTAGAATTAAGTTTATATTACTATTCAGTTGTGATTGGTGGAGGCAGATTTTTTCTTTGTCAATATGTAGTTTATAGGATATTGCCATGGATTATTTTAGAATTGTGTGTGTTAGCTAATAGTATTCATTTTATTTATTTATTTATTTATTTTTATTTTTTTATTTTTTATTTTTTTCAGCTCAAGAAAGACTCTTCAAGCAATCATGTATACAATTATTCTCCATGTGACCACCCAAATCAGCCCTGCGATCACAACTGTGGCTGTGTTATGACGCAGAACTTCTGTGAAAAATTCTGTAACTGCAGTCCTGATTGTAAGTCTTGATTTTTTTCTCTTTCTCTCTCAAATTGAGTAGTATGAGGGCAGTGTAAAAATAATGATCAGAATGTATTATATCGAAGTGGTGCTTTTGTCTGAGAAATATTGTTCTAATGCTTGCTATAGTGTGTATATATAGGCCTGTCAGAAAGATAAGGAAAATACTCATTTGAGTTATGATTCTATTAGTGTTTGTATTTTTCTACATATTAGTTATCACACCTTGCCATTAGATTTTTATAGGAATAGCACTTTTTTATGATCAGTACAAATCTTTATTATAGACTTATATTAACACGTTATCATTATATATATATTTTTATAATAATGATTATTTTCTGTCTCCCAGGCCAAAACAGATTTCCTGGTTGTCGGTGCAAGGCCTCATGCAACACAAAGCAGTGTCCGTGCTTTCTAGCTGTGCGTGAGTGTGACCCAGACCTTTGTGTCACTTGTGGAGCCCATGAATTCTCAGTTAGTAAGATCACCTGCAAGAATGTATCCGTGCAGCGGGGATTGCGTGAGTAACATCCTTTGATTTATTGAAAAGATGGAAGGAGGAAAAAAGTTTGATATGTTTGGTATTAAGTGATGTGCTGATTCAGTTTTCTCTTTTAATTATTTCCTTAATTGTATGGCTATTATATTTATTTTTGTAATAGCTATTGTCTTTTTATTGTTTATGTTTGTTATATCATAGTAATAATTATTATGATGTTGATATGGTGAGAAGTGTATGATGTATTTATATACAGATGAATACCCTCTGACTGCAATGAAGTGATACATTGGCTTGTATGGCAAGGCAATGCATACATAGTCTGGCATTTAATGTTATTTTGTTGACACTGGCATTGTTTTCGAGCAGACAAACACCTCCTGATGGCTCCCTCGGATGTAGCAGGCTGGGGCATCTACCTCAAAGACTCTGCACAAAAGAATGAGTTTATATCTGAATACTGTGGGGAAATAATATCTCAAGATGAGGCGGACCGCCGTGGCAAAGTCTACGACAAGTATATGTGCTCCTTCCTTTTTAATTTGAATAATGGTAAGTTGAGGCCTGATAAAGAAAAGTCATGATATTATTTCATGTTTGCCTCTATATTGTTTGCATTGAACTTTCGATCAGCTGATTTCCACTGGTGTCCATTTAATTTACATAATTTAAGGCATATAGCTAAGTTTCCCACATTATAGAATAAAGGAACAAATAGAGAAGTGAGCATTCTTTTGATAAAAAAATGTAATCTAGTGGTGAAGGAATGTGTGTTCAGTTTGTAAATTTACATTATCCATTTCCCTCTCTGTCTGTTTGCCTGCATCTGACTTAGTCTTCCTTTGCTCCCTCCCTCCCCCCCTTTAGCCTTTTACACACCCTCAGTCTTGGGCATTGTATAATATTGATATGTGAAATTGAGATTTGTGTGCATGTACGCATGATGAATGACTGCAAGTGTGCTTCTGTGTGTGTCTGACTGTGTTAGTATATCTGTGTTCAGTAAACATTAATATATTTATTTTTTATGCTCTTACTCATAGAGTTATGAGTAGAAAAGAATATATGTAAGTATCTGTAGATGTGTGGATTATATCTGACTTTCTCACTTGTAGATTTCGTGGTTGATGCAACACGCAAGGGGAATAAGATCCGCTTTGCAAATCACTCCATTAATCCAAACTGTTATGCTAAAGTCATGATGGTTAATGGTGACCATCGCATTGGCATATTTGCAAAAAGGCATATTCAATCTGGCGAGGAACTGTTCTTTGACTACAGGTGAGTTATGGTTTGCTCTGTTCTCTTTTTTCTCAATTTTTCACAGCTCGAAGTCAATGCAAGTGAAATGTGGATATTTTTCTGTTGCTTTTAGTTATTTGTTATTATGATTTGTGAGGGTGGATAGAATTATTATTTTTTATTTTTACAGACTTGTTTTTTTTTGCATTCAGTGATAGGGTTTAATGATCACAGTGAAATAGCAAACAATCAGGAAAAGTTAAAAAGAGTTAATAAATGTTGTATACATAGTACAGATACAAGTTTTTATTGTTCAAATGACCTCATTCAGTAAAACTATAATACAGGAATTAATTACATTTAAGGGATGGTGAGAATTGGGTATTTTAAAATGACTTCTTTTTATTTTTTGTTTTTCATCTTCCAGATATGGACCAACAGAACAGCTAAAATTTGTCGGCATAGAAAGGGAAATGGAGTTCCTTTAATGATGGCCAATAATCTAAATCTTTACGTACCTAAGGTGAAAAAAGAAAATCACTGTTATTTAAGCCATATCACTGTTTTGTATGATTTTCTTTTTCCTTTCCTGTAAACATAGATGGGAAGGTATTAATATTGTGCTGCTATACTGTATATTTCTATTGCCTGTCGAGATCCAAAGAGAAACCTGTATGTAATCGTGAAAAATTAGGCTTTTGGACTGTGATGGTATTTTGACTAATCTTTACTGATTTCCTCATTTTATATATTTATACATAAGCTTGCTGAGTATTTTGACATTTTGTTGTTGAATGATAGTTGATGAATAGGAAAAAAAAAGTATGATAGTGGTTTTTAGATTTGATTATTATTTAGGAATCCATTAATGAAAAGCATGAATTGATGTCATTTCAAAAAGAAGAGAAATGGAAAATATTTAGAAAATTATTTGAAAAAAGGAAAAAAATAAACAATTGAAAACATGTAAAGGAAACTTGAGAAAAGAATTATTAAAATTTAAAAGAAATAAAAAAAGAGAAGAAATGAGATAAAAAAAACTTTACGCTGTACTTAATGATAAATGAAATCAAGTATGTTGATTGTATTTGAGTGTACATGCGTATGGAAGTACTATTAGTATACTGTGCTTTTGGTATAAGTTATATCCTGTTTTGTAATCTGTAGGTTTTGATAAGAGAAAAAGAGGAAAATGTAAAAGGTGGATTTAATTAACATTTTTTTTTTTAACAGTACTATGAAGGACCCTGTTTCAAGGTCTGGATTTTGTCTTCGTTCTCTCATTGATATGCTGTTGATGTTTATGTTACTGTTTTATTTATTTACTTTTTTTTAAGCAAATTGAAGAAAGTTATACTTCCTCTCAGTATACCTGTCAAGTATAACATGTATATTCTGTGCTACAGGATATAGGTATTCTCATGAATATGCTATTCACATCTGTGTTGCTGTTTGAAACTTTTTTTTTCTTTTTTCTTTTAGACCATTCAGAATGTAAATATGCCTTTCTCTAGTGTAGCCTTCTTTTAAGGTATGTCAGTTTCACTGGTACAGGAACCCTAATTTATTTTAGTTTCAGTCTATATTTTTTCTTTTTTCTTTTTACACTTTTGTTAGGATGTCAGTACATGAAATCCATATATTTACACAAGTAAGAGTGAGCTAGGTTGAATGTGGATGTTAACGTGTACAAAGATTTTTTAAAGAAGCTCATGTATTTTCTGATTGTACTCGTGCATCCATACTTATGCGTATGCTTAGCTTTGTGAGGATGCATGTCTATATGCCGATATACATAATGTACAAATATGTGCACTATAAAGCACATGCTCATATACCTGTGTTTATCATTTCTTTATTTACATGTACATAGATTAAAAAAAGAAAAAAAAGAAAATAAATTGACACTGTATGTACAACAATGTATTATGTTAGGAAAGAAAAGAAATTGCCACCTTGTGATGAGTTTGTCGTAATTTGTTCGAACTGAGAAGTTCCATAGGGCCATATTTAATTTTTAAAATTACAAAATTTGTATCAGCCATGAAAATAAAACAAAAAATATAGTTATTTTTACAGTTATGTGTTAGTATAGTGCAGTTGACAAGAAGACTGACTAAAAAAAAAAAAATAATAAAAATTTTAAAAATAAAGTTCATACTGATTGAACTCTGAAAAAAAAAAAAAAAAAAAATAGTATTGGCTATCAAAAACAAAACAAAACAAAAAAACATTCCAGTCAGTTTCCTTCCATGTACAAGCCAGTATTGCTAACAGTAGGATTTCTTGTCTAAAAATTGGCAGTATTCATAATTTTCTTTGCAAGTATTTTTTTTCCTAATCCCCATACCTGTTTTAAAATAGTAATTTCAGATCTAGTAAATCCAAGGGCAGCAGGTTTTTTTTCAGCACTTGATTCCTTTCTTGTGTATCATATGTTCCAGTCTTGTTAGGGCCTGGTATAGTAGAGTGGTGATGTAGACGCTTTATCATTAAGGAAATGAACTCCAGAGAAGATCAGGGTTAATATCTCTTGTATGATAAATTTGTTACACATGTGAGGAGAGAATGCAAGTTCATGTGCATAATGATGAAAAGAGCAAGAAGAAAATGGAATGTGTTTAAGGTTAATTACCATATTTAATCCCCCCCCCCCCCCACACACA